TCTCAGTGACAGCGACGTGTAGTGCAACATCTTACACAAACTCAGCTGTTAATGGACTAATGAATGCATGCATGAAAGTTAAATCTTTTTCCATCATGTTTGGACTTAATGTGTTCGTAACATTGCCAAAGGTATTCTGGTTGTGGTTTGGTAAGTGAATAATGCATTGGTAAAGCTTTAGTGACACTTTTATAAATGTGTGTTTGGACTATGCAAATAAGTTCCACAGGAGGAAAGAAGGGTGGGCCACACCGTGTCCCCCCACTCTGATGGAAACAGCCAATCACAGCCTGGAAATGGAAAAGCGCCAGATTGCAATCTCCTCCTCATCGAAAAGAGATAAAGGTACCTTCCCAAAAGACACTCCTTGTTCTGAGTCTCTGGCCTGCAAGGGTGAGACACTAACAGATAAACCAGTTCTGAGTCTGAGTCCTGTCAAGGAAAGGACTGCAACAGATCACTAACATTCTGAACCTCTGGACCGTGAGGGAAGAGGCAATAACAGATACCAAGTCCTGAGCCTCCAGACGTGTGCTTGCGGAGGAATGTACACACTTACGAGAATGAACGAGGTTCACCAGATGGATGCTAGGCAACGGCGTTCTGAATCCTCGCTGCCTTAGCGTCATAATGTTTTGTAATGAATCTTTGCAAATCGCCTTTCCTAATAATGTGCTAATTAACATGTTTCACGATGAATGCGGCTAAAGTAAACAGTCTCTCTTAGAGCAGCTCAGAAGAGAGGGGAGGGGTCAGCAGAGCTCATTAACATTTAGTTAAGGCCACTTAATATAAAGTGGGGCCAAATCTATTTTATTACACTTGTGTCTTCCTTGTGTTGATGATACAGAAAGAGGTTCTACAAGTTAGAGATCCCCCCAATCTTTCTTATGTGATGTACTCATAATCACACCTTAATTGACACGTGATCCAAATATCATAACGTCATTGGTGACGCGAGTAGCCATCACTACACTTTTTCGCCTCCCTAGGTTGGCGAAAGCAAAATTCACTACAATGGCAATTTTATTATTTGTTCATATACTAGTCTTTTTTCAATTTTTATCACAGAATAAGGCAGAATATATATATATTTTTAGTTTCTGTAGGCTACTGTAATAAATGCTATGTCATTTAGACTGCATTATTCAGATACTTTGTTTATTACCTGGAGATGACTTGAAAAATACAGATAAACCATAAACCTGCGCGAGAGAGAGTATGAATGAAACACACACTGCATGAGAGTATCTTCTCATTTTGGATACGAATGAAATGCCAGGTCATGCATAGACTATGCATATTCTATATTCTAGACCGAGTATTCTACACCCATGCTGTGAACCATGTAATATTTTATTAATAATAAAACTGTTGTCAAAGCAAATGTTGTTGTTGCTCAACACAGCTTTGCAGAAATCAGTTTGTTTCAGTTTCAATTTTCATGTGCAACTTTGTGATCAACATTGAGGACTGGAGAATATTCAAACTTGTAAATGAAGAACAGCAAAATTGATCCGAAGAGAGTTTAGGTTTCCCCATCATCATCATCATCATCATCATCATCATCTCTTTCTTACAGCACATTGAGCTGCAAATAAAACAGTTTGTTACATAATAAAAAAATCAATTTCCAGTTTATTTGTAATATATGCATTTTCATTTTAATAATTTTAATTCAAAATCAACATTCCTTTTCAGTTTTCCAGTGTTTGTAGGAACACACTCACCTGGTGCAGCTTCCTTCTGCATCACTTCCTGTTCGGGTGGTTGAGACCATTGCAGCGTCACGTCAGAAAACCCTTGTTCCACCAAAGCAGACTGAAGCTGAAATGAGCAGATCTCTTAACAGTGCTATCAGTGCGATTTGATTTCAGATTTCTGTATGTTTCCCGAGCTCTCTCACCTGTGACAGGAGCTGGGCTCTCATTGCAGGTTCAGACAAACTCGAACTGGACTTCAGTTTCATCTTCAGAAAGGTTTTCTTCAATAAAGGACCTGAAAGAGCACATGAGAGTGAACATACATAGAAAGAAGGGAATTCAGTGTAATTAGAGGTTGTGTAGTGGTGCATGATCCCCAAAAATCCTGAACAAAAGTACATAATGTAAAACAATAACAACAACAACAACAAAAACAAAAAAGACCTAGACCTAGATGACATTAAATACAGGTTCACTTGCAATAAGACATGGTTTAGTGTCAAATACAAATGCATTTCATGTAGTGAATTACTGAAAGCTGAGAGCATGCAACTGTTGTAGTTTCACGTTTTCAACTAATATTGCATTTAAAAAAGAAATTAAGCAGTTAATAGTTTCCCAAAACACTAAATCTGCTTGTTTGATCATACCTTCTCCATAGACCTCCACCTCACACAGAGTAAGAAACCTTGAATCTCCAGGAATGAACAGATTCACGTATCGACCCTCCATATCGTTACATATGTAGGTGGAGGAAACACCAGCTGGAATGCTAGAAATCACAGTACATATAAAGAGAGACACAGAAAACAATTTAGTCTTCTAGTCTTTCTTTGTGTGTTTTCAGGGATTTTTATGAATATTAAGCCACTAAAATAGAGGATCTCACATGGGATTGTTGTTGCCGTTGTTCTCCAAAGAGTTTCCAATGCGAATCTCTGCTCCATTTATTCGTTCTGGACAGCAGTCTAGTCTGTTTGTGATTACGACTCTACTAACTCGATACACAGAGCTCAGATCCACCCTCCACCATGGGTTAGTCTGAATATCGGTTGAGGAACATGCTGATGACGGTTGTATGAATCCTGGATTGAAATCAACAGCCTGTTCAGTGATCCAGCTGCCAATGGTTGATGACTGTGTGACGTTTCTTCCGGTTGCCAAATTACCTGGAAGATGTCATAGTGTCAAGAAACGGTTTTAGTCGGCATATTTTATACTCCTTCAACTTGTTTGGAGGGGAGATTTTCTTCAGTCAGGCATATAAGACTAAGTCCCATCTACCTGAATGGAGAAATCCTGAAAACTCAAAAAAAAAAAAAATCAGCAACAAAATCTGACATGATCTGTCCCATAAATGTTGTGTTATGCTTAAATAGCATTATAAAAGCTTTTATTTCAGGCTGGTCCAGTCAATGCGAATGTGCAGTCCGGTCTCAGGAGTAACGGCAGCTGCAGTGACGCGATGACTTTACCAACTGGCAATTGGTTTATTTATTTGGAACTATATTAAAAACCATTTTAATGAAATGAGAATATCTTAAAAAGTCAAATTTGCCTGGAAAGGGTTTAGACCAAGTTGTTAAGCAGCTCTGAATTACCTGGAAAAATCACATAGACTCCCACATCACAGAGAGTAAGAATCTTTGAAGTTCCAGGAAGATTCACAAAAACGTAACGTCCCTCCATCCCATGACACGAGTAGCTGTAGGTAGCTCCTGCTGGAATAGTAGAAACTACAGCACATCTGAAGAAAGACGAAAGAGTGAGCTGCTCCTGTGCTTTTGATGCTCATTATTAGTATGACATTTGTATTTTCTTCTCTTATGCCTGAGTGTAGCCTATTTTATATTATTAGCTCTTTGTTTTGCAATGCGGTATGTATTTTATAATTTGATATTTTCCCCAACTTATGTAACACACATTTTTTTTTAGTTAAGCAAATGTGAAATTATTTGTCATGCCAGTGAAACATTATTATTACACGTAGAAAATAAAGTTTTACTGTTATCCGTCGTGCTTGTGTTCCCCCTCAGAGAGGAAAAGTGCCATCAAATTTTGTAATGTTATGAACATTCTACGCAGATTTTTGTATTTTTTGTTTCTGGGACAATGTTTATATATATATATATATATATATAAATAATTGTAGGTATATAAGAATGTCAGAGACTCACACTGGGTTGCTGAAAACATCTGAAGAGTTGTTTCCAATCCGAATCTCTGCCCCATCTATCCTGCTTTCACAGCAGTCGGGTCTGTTAGTGATGGTCACTCTGTTCACGCTGTATGTCTTCATCAGATCCAGCTTCCACCAGGGGTCAGTTTGTGTCGTAGTATGAGTACAGGTGTAGCTCAACCCATCCAGAGCATAGTGGGCATACCAGCTGTAATATAATGTCGACTGAACGGGTGTCCCCCATGTTGCTACGTTCACTGGAATATGTTCAATGGAAAAACCTTACTTAAAATTACAATTATCGGGTGAAGATCAATCTGCTACATCACTGCCTCTTTAGCCCTGCCCACTGATACACGCTTGTAGAGGAGAGGAAATGAAACACAGGTTTACTACATCAACAGAACCATACAGATGACATTACAAGATCACAAGACACTGTAGTGCAAGTTGTGAAAAATAGTCTTTGAATTGCCTTCCTTGTGATCCTAACATATCTAGAGGGACGCTTGTATGTCAGAAACTCTTTGCTGCGTCTCAATGTGCCTACTTATACTACGCCCTTAAAGTATGTACACTTTTGGTGAAGAAAAAGTACACACTTTTGAGTGTGTAGTAGAAGAGTAGGCAAGCTTTGGAACATATACTATCACGTCACACAATTGCGTCTTTAAAGGTCCGCTCTGTCACACCTGTTACACACACCCTGTCACTGTAAACTGGCCTGTCAGTCATCTTGTCCCAGTTAACATCCTCCACATTTCATTTCATTTAACTTCCTACCATACTGGAGTGAAAAGAAGTAGCTCGTTGATCTGCCAGTCGCGGGTCTTTCATGCGGAGAACTCTGATAATATTTTCTGCATAATGATGCATTTAAAAGTTAACGACCAAATGGATGTTTATAAGTTCACATTGCTGTTGCAGATGAAATATAACACGGATTACAATAAATAAATATTTTTTACCAGGTTAAATGTTGATTATCAGTAACTCAAAACCCTTTTTGTAAACCTCTCTACCTAACCGTCGATTGCGTGCATCCGCCACGTTTGTAGTTTTTCTAATGCGTTTTAATCGTGTTTGTAGTTCTGGACCAAATCCTTCGCCAAAGTGCAATGGATTGTGGGCAATTTTAGCCATTAGAGTGAGCACGGATCCACACTTCAAAAATCGACCTGAAATAGTAGACCATCCCGGGACTTTTGGCATACTCTTTTCAACATACTATGCTTTGGGACACACTTATTCTAATCTAGAATAGTTTTGTTCTTTGTTCTGTAATCCTTCCCTGCTTGACCACTCTTGCCACATATATAATTCTCTATTATAGATCAGTGGTCTGAACAAAAATAGCAGACGGGCTGAATAAGAATGTAAATCCACTGTTTGACAGCAGGTGGTGCATATGAACAGCAGAAACAGAGCTGTTTCCACAATAATATATGTAAACAAAGCAGTGCTGCGCTTATAAAAACTGCTTATTAGGCAGGGAAGATGAAAAGCAAATGCCATCTAAACATTTCTGAAGACAGTACGTTCCCCTCTTATGCATTCATAGAATTAATTCAATCATACACTCTTTCATTTAATTTCTCTCAGCACACTGCCTTTCGTCATTGTTTTCAGACAAAACGGAACTGCTGTTCAAATGTACAAATCTGATACACATCAGATTTTCTCCCAACAGTTAACGTTAATTTAAAACTTGATTTTAACTCAGTTAAGACTGCGCTTATGAGGATACTCATAAAGGGGCATTTGTCTGAAATGTGTCTGTCATCATGTTTTTGTCACCATGTCTGAAAATGTTTAACAGCAGCACAAACTCACTAACAAAAGATGTAATAGTTTAATTCATGAAATTTCACCTTCTTTTCCTGCCTTCGTTTGAATGGAGAAAATCCCTTGAAATGAGAAACACAGAATGATGCTTAGTATTTTGCTACTTAAATTGATTTTTCTTATGATTATAAACCTACATTTTGTTAGATGTACACTTAGTTGGGTAAAATGCTGTATGATCTCTAAAATCATGTATTAATGTTTACACAGTTTAGCTTCTCAAGTAAAAGTTTATTGTTTAAGGGTGTTAAGATATCATTAGCCAAAATCAACAGATTCAATTATGCTTTAGGGTCTTCTGTGTTTATTGTTTTTAAAAAGATGAAGCTAGAAACAGACCGTATAGATATTAAACAGATTGTATGTTTTACTTACCCAGTAAAAGTGACAGATTCTTGTAAAAAGCCCTCATCTTCATTTCAAGTGCACCTCTATTCTTTCTGCTTTCATTTGAGGAGGTTTGAATGAATGTTGTTCCTGGGAGAAACACATTCGTTTAATTTTACATCAGAGTCACATAATCCTGTCTCTCCTCCCACTTTTCTCTCTGACTGGAGCTGGAAGAATGTTTACAGAAAAAAAAAAAAACTTTTTTTTTTAACATCTTTTAGCAACAAAACACATCTTTCATCTATTTCTTTGGATGGCTCTTTTGTCTAAAGCAAGTCAAGGTATACATTTGATGTTGACATGCTTACAGTAAATGTCCGGTGTAAATAGCAATAGTAAAATCCACAAAACTGGGTCGGTTTGTAAGCTGGCCTCTCCTGAGAGAAAACTGAGGGACAATCTTCCTGAACTACAATAAGGTTTGTATTCACTTTTGTATTCTAGTGGTTCATATGACAGTTTCCCCAGTCTATATCTGTCATACTGCATGTTGTTTCCATCTTGTGAGTGTAGCACCTGCCGTTTTTTTTTTTTTTCCAATCTTACAGACTTTACAAGACCTTTGCATTTTGTTGTTTTATGCATGAATGCATTGTCCTGCATCTGGTCTGACATGAGGAGATCTGTTTCTAGATGACGCAAGGTTATTATAAATAAAACTCTTTAAAATATGAATATTAGCATTAGGTGTTTATATAGCAATGCATTAAATCTTTGCCACACTTTGCCATTTGCATCTACATATACTCTGTTCACTTCCAAAAACATAATTGTTTTTCTTATTCTCATTTCCTGTGTTTTAATTTTATTTGATCAATATTACATGAAGATGTTATGTATTCATGTTAATGTTTATATAGTCTTGCCAACACTGACCACCTCTTATACAGTATCATGCATGTTTGATCTTAATGTCAAATTTTAAATGTTGGTAATTTTAACAGCTCCTACTTGAAAATGTAAAGCTATTGATTAAATGCACATATTATAATGCACTTAAATCACTTTAAGTGATCGAATGGTCAATTTGTGTTTGAAACTATTTTGGGCAAAGCACAGTGAGTTTTTTAAAAGGCACTTGCTTAGAAAGCCTGTTCAAAAGAACATGAACTTGAATGTAAATGTAAATGTAAATTATCCCAAATTGCTTACTCAGAAGAGCACAAACATGTGAGGAAGCACACTGTGACTCTGTCCGTACCAGATTATTGAGCTTTGAAACTACCAGGTTGTCATTATGTGTTTTACATTTTTAATTTTCAAGCTTCACCTACAATAATCTGCCACAAATCTTACTTGCTTATTTCTAAAATTGTCTGCTTATAGTATTTTTCTTGCCCCTGATGCACTTGGTTGAGCAGTTTGTTTTACTAGGCATTCTTTTGCCTATGTAAATAATGTTGATGTCATTTTATTTTTGTATTTTTGGAAAAAGGCAAAGCAAATGACTGTAGATGGTCCTGAATGAAATGTGACATGATGGTGGAACAAAACCAGTGAAGTGAGTGTTTCCATTCAGTCCAAAAACAGTTAGTTGATACACTGATAAGCCAGTGGTGTGCAGTGCTGTTCTGAAATGAGGAAGCAAAGTCCTCAAATATTTTTTTTTTCTCCTTAATCTTATGCAAATTCATGTCGCAGTCACATTTTCTTGGTTAATTGAACATTGCTTACACTATCAGAAAAAAAAGATTGTATTTTATATTTTTAAATTAACAATGTAATCAGTATTCTATTTATTAAAGCCAAGTAAATCTCATCAAGTTAGTGTTTTAAGCATTTTACATTTATTCCAAAATAACTCAAGGCAGTAACAATTTAAACATGATATTTTCTTTGTGAACTAATATTCAGCTATTTTTTTTATAGTAAACTTCTAACTTTTTTTGTATTGCTTGGACAATATTGGTCACAGACACTGAGATTTACTTTAAATTTCACCAAGCTGATTACTCACTAAAAACTCCCACAGATCATGTTTTCAGGCCATTTCAAGTCTTAATTTTGACATAACAAGGTTGTTATATCTAACTGTGTGAGTTGTTTACTTACTTTTTCAAATTAGTCTTTCCAAAGCCATTATTGTTAATTTATTATTATTTATTGTTAATTTAGACTGATTTGCAAATGCGGAACACGCACAAACTCAAGAGGCTTGATTTATCACATGAACCAATCACAGTCGAACATAACCAGTCATATCCAATCGTATCGTGATGGAGGCATTGCCTCCTCTCACATGACTTTCTATGGAGATTAAAAAATGACAAAACTATTTGAATTTGAATTGTGTAACTTTGAACTATTGACAAGTATAATTTAACAAAACTGAATATTATATGGCATTTAACATAGTTTTTTTTTACTTGAATATTGAACATTTGAAATTTAACATAATTAAAAAAAAATTTTATGGCAGAGTTTTATAGACATGTATTTTCAAACAGCTGATTCAGTTTTTAAAAATACAGCTTCAAGTTTTTAAGATGAAGAAGAAATTCAGAACATCAAATTCAATATTCTAAAATTCAAAATGCAGAAATTCAGATCGCACAGAAAGTAGGTCAGAGATCATTCACAGGGAAGAGTACATGATCTCCGAAAAGTCGAACAAAGAATTTTGGCCAATTACTACGGTGACCGGGAGGGGACATGTTCCGTTCACTTAGTTTTTTCATGGCCACTACATATTAACTCGTGGGAACATGGCCACGCGATGTGAAGTTGTGGCTTCGAGATGCTATGTTGAGGGAACAACATCCATTTCTTGTGGCCACGACTTATGTTGAGGGAACTACATTGCTTGAAGTGGGCCAGTACAGACCAGTACACAGTACCGCCACTTCTATATTTTAGTCTTTAGCGTACCGACACTTTTTCGTGCATAACGGAACTTCTGACATGCTACTAAAGTGTCAGTGTCTGGGTGATTAGAAATGACACTATATAAAGCACACTACCAGGAGGGGTCACCTCTCATCTCTACAAATCACTGGGGTTTTCAATGTGTGGGGCGAGAGAGCATGTCAGGAGAGCTATAATAATAATTAATTATTGATTACTAATTTGAATCAGTACATTATAATGAAAAAAATACCTTAAAAATGAAAAGTTTTTGCGATCACATCATTTTAAACCGGTAAACTCCTGGAAAGACCAAGGATCCAGTAAGCGAATTCAAACAGTAAGTTCAAAACAGTGCTAATGCAGAGAAAACACGGCCCATTTCATCAGAGATTGCGGAGAGAATAGTGACTTACATCCAGATGTCAGTAAATTATTATTTTCATCGTGTATTTGGCTTAAAGGCACATGTACGATTTTCGTAATAAAATATCCAAAAACCAGATGCACATTGTTATATATGTCATGCAGTTGTGTACTTACTTTATCCCAAAAGTTCCCAAGGATTTGTAAATCCAGAGATATTCCAATTTTAAATAATGGCTCGTCCTTGTTCATTGTCGCTTATCAATTACGTAATATCCGCGCTATCGGTTTCCGCTTGTAGAAACTATGGCAACACATGTGGACAAAAATGCTGCTGTACAGTTAAACTAAATTACGGCTGTCATAAATAAAATGAAAATAAAGTGAAAAGTGTTGACAGCAGCATTAAATTTAGATCTGCTCAATGTTGCACCATGAATCTTTTTCCACGTTTTTACAGTGTTGCGTGTTATAACCAATCACACATGAGTCTGTTGAGTTTATGAACGCAGCGGCCAATCAGAGGCGTTTAGGTGAGTCATCGCTGAAGCACCGGAGTTTTGTTCAGTGCGCGTGCTCGCTGAGTGAATTCTCTCATCATAAACAACAAAGTGCAGATGTACATATGATGTAAGCAGGAGATTCATTCATCTAACAGTGTATAGACAGCTTTACTGATTATAAGGGGAGTTTTTTTGAGAGTGCTTAAACTCGCGCTAGACTGAAGTCAGGCATACTGTTCTTTGACAATGTAATGCTAAATGTTTGCTCGATTTCTCTATATAATTTATTCGCTGTTTGAATAACTTTGGAAGGTACAGGTCATAAAAAAAATAATTCATTACATCCGTGAAAATTATTCGCACATCTCTGGATGGTGAAAACGACATCTCCCATCGTTCCACTCTCCTTCATAGTGTCATCAAGCTTCGCCTTTGTCATTGTTTTTAAAATGCGACCTATAGGCGAAAACTTCCATATTGTGCCTTTAAAAGTGAGAGTGTTTTATACTGGATGCTGGCTGAAGGTGTTTTAGATTATGCAGTGGTCAGAGCTTTAGTGATTCTGAATGAATCCATATTGTTACAGTCAGGACAAGGCAGGAGCTTTAGTGGTCTTTGGCGTCTCCCTGTGGTCCTGTTTGGTATCGCAGCTTGACTTGTGCTTATTTGTATTGAAAATGTTTATTTAATTATTGATTGATTGTGGCACTATACATACACTGTGAATTCTGAAAATTAGAAAGTACTTATTTATTTATAAATATTTTTCTCATGGCCACAAGTTTAATGCGTAAACAAACCTGCGTGGCCATATCAACCCGCAATTATCACACATGGATAAAACATTTTTATCCATCCCACAGTCTTGTAAATCCGTTAACTGATCGTATCTTTTTATTTAATATTTGTATATTATTATTATTATTATTATTATATAACTGTAGCCTAATATAATAATATTATTAGGCTACATTAATTGGTTAGGGCTATATTTTTGTAGCCTATTTATTGTTATACTTAATTTCCCCTTTAAATTTGTAGCGCTTCACCTAATTAACGTTCTGTATAATATGCTAGTATTATTAATATGCTACCATATTTAGCAAATACTGTAAATGCCTGACAATTATGCCAATAATGTTTTGACTTTTTTTTTTTTGTATTGTATTTACGCCCGTGTGTGACAATAAATGAGAGTATTTTCATTTACAAATGAAACTACGCGAATGATTCATTCCTCAGCGAAACACTATATTTATAATAGTCTATTAATTAGACGAAATAAAATTAAATATATAGTTACACTTAAATTCAA